GCGAGCTGGAAGGCCCAACGGTGCATGGAAAATGGAGATGAAAATGCCTGTTTGAAAATCATCCACAAGGGCTTGAAAAGTTACCGAGGGTCTTTGTATGAGAATGGGGAATCCTATTTCAGTTTTCCAAAGATTAAGTCGAAAGTTGCAATAAAATAAGTGATTTTTTATAATATTAAAACTCATGGTTTTTTATCAGGGACCTTGTATTTATTTTGCATGTTTTTCCTTCCTCCAAATATATCCCTCATTTGCTAAAAACATAATGGGTAATTTCCTGACCCCTTTAAAAACACACATGAAATTATTATTTTTACTCTGTTGCTGTGTTTACGGGTGGCACTTGCAAATGAAAAACATGCCCACACGAATTTCCGCCGAAGGACAGCAAAAAACAGAACTTAATTGTTCAAATATTTTCAGGGCACACACGTAACGCCCTTTGACCCCTGCTGCCCATCCCCCTTTCCCATACCTTTGAAATACCTCCAATGAAACAATGAAAGTAGGCGAAACAAAATCAGAGCCTCACTTTTACCAAAAAACACACTCCCAAATAATTTACGGCGCTGTTAAACATGCAAACATTTTCATTGTTAATTTTTATGCAGGGAAAATCAGGGAAATTGTGGGTACTTTGCTCCTTTGTTGCAGTTTTTACACCCTTTGTTGAAAAACAAAATTCGGCAGAGCTGAGAAGCACATTTTCATGGCCCTAAGTTCGAGGCCCAATAAAAATCATCTACAATTCATTTCCAGTTTCATGGCGTTCCCATTTTCCCAATTTTATTCCGCTTTAAGAGTCCCGCGAGGAAAACGATGAAATTCTCCGTCGTAAAATTAAATTTCTCCGCAATTAATTCCGATTTCCCTTCCTCTCTTGGGGAAAACTTCGCTGGAATTTTTATCGCTGACCCGGAATGACCTTCGCATCGATTTCAACGCCTCCCACTTCCCAGCCTCCCCTATTTTATTTTATTTCCTTTTAATTTATTTATCTTTTTCGTAGTTGATTTTATGCTCCAGCTCACTCTGTCTTTTTCCATCGCTGTCTTTCTCCTTAACTTTTACGCGTTTTTGGTCCCCTTCCTGTCGCCTTTTAATTGTCTTTAAATTATTGTCGAAAAGAGGGGATGAATCTTCGATTTCTGTTTATCTTAAGCAATATCCACCAAGAGTAAAATGAATTTTCTTTGAAATTTATTGCTCCGGAAATTAAGGAAAGTTTACGAAAGAAAATGGATGTAGAGAATGGCCCTAGAGATTTTAGTTTTACCTAACGCATCCAATTAAATATTTTATATCTGGCTTGAATCATTTAATCATGATGAGCGAGAGAGTTAGTGTCAACCAAATGGATCAAATATATATTGCCATAAATATTTATAATCTATTTATTGACCACTTCAATTTCGTCGACATCTGAACTCTTCCACAGAGTTCACACAAACGTTAAACTTTTTCCCGAAAAACAACAACAGGCTGAAGTTTTCTATTTCGACGCTGCGTTTTCATTGCTGATTTTTATCACGGGCACATTGAAAATTTACGACTTTTCACAGCGCATAAATTCTGCGCCGTTTGCCAATTTTTATTATCTGCAAAATACGCTATGCGCATCTGAGGAATACACGAGTGTAGGGAGTATCTAATGGATACATGAACCCAAATTGAGACACTTTGCATAGACCAAAGCAATCATCATCCCCTCGACTGGAGTCGGGAAACTTCTCCTGGGGGAAAGCTCGGAAAATGAGCCAAGAAATAATGATAAAAGGTGAAAAATGCACTTTGCGGGAAGGGAAAACGGAAAATGCTAAGCGTAACTTATTACGAAAGATGGAGGGAGGAGGAGAAAAAAGGGAAAAGAAAACTTTCCGCGAAACTTCAGCTGCATGTGTTGCATACTTTGTGGCGCTGCAAAGAAAGCATGAAAAACGAGCGAAGGGAAAAGGAAAACATTGTGAAATTTCAGCCCCAAGTAAACGGAAAAAACTAATTTTTAATGTCCCTCATAGGAAAGGGAACAGTAGGATAAGTTTCTTCCTCCGATTGCGATGCAAAATGTTGTCACTTTGTATCCTGACAGCCAGGATCATCAATCGCTGCTCTCTTTTTCCCTGTCTCCAAAGGATCCCTCTGAAGAACTTAAGAAATATAATGTATGTAGAAGAAGAAACCCCAACCAGCAACTTTTTGTGTGCCAATAAATTTTCAATTTCCGTCTTGAAATTTGCAATTTATTTCACTGCCAAGCTAATTTCCCCGCTCTCCCAACACTTTGCTCCTTTGTGAGAGTTATCCAAGGTGGACGGCAAGCTTTTCCTGCAGCTTTCCACACAAGCTAAAGGGAGTTTATCGAAGGGCACAAATACGATGGCAAATTGCATTGTCTGCCCAAAGATTGCACTTTATTAGATAAGCAAAATAAGAGGTAAACACATGGCGGGATTCCCCTCCAGTCCTTTGACGAGTAAACAACTGCAAAAGTTCGCCCTCCGTTTTTTCCCGCAAATCACGGCATTTTCCCTCAGCAATTTGATTTGATTTGCAGACTCTGCGAAAATATTTCATAAATATTTACCCACCATTTTTTCCCGATTTTTAAACTCTTTTTCTGCGTTTTCATCTTATCGCACAGCGAACTTTTGCAACTGTGAAAATATTTTTCCGCAATTCGTTTGTTTTTCTCCTGCTACTTTGTAGTGCAAATATTTTCCACCATTTTTGCACTTCATTTGCAGGGTGGGCGTGTCCGAGGGGGCGTGGCTGTTTGTTTTCCTTTGATGTGCTAAATTGGTGCACCGATTGCATTCGAAATGAGATTTGATCGCCTTGAAATCATGAGAAGTTAACTGGGGGTTTTGGAAAATAGAGGGAGGGTAAAAGCCCTTAGTTTGCATACCTAATTCTGGGAACTGAGATTTTTATTCCTTTCTCCCCTTCGGGACAATATCCATTTGATTTTAACGACTTGCGAGCAAAGTTTTCCCGCAGGCAACGCGAATCCTTTTCCAAGTGAAACATTAAACTTTGCCCCATCAGAAAAATAAGGATAACAACAACATGGCGAAGGATATCAGCAGACTCGAAAGGCAGTCAGGATAATGGCCAAACAAGACACGACAGCAATGGGAGAAAACATTTCCAATAATCCCAAGAAAAGGTTAAAGGCATTACAAATAAATGTATAAATTCCAGGGTCATGGCGCATTATAAGCTACGAATCACTTAGCTAATGTCTTACCAAAACCAAAAATGGAAAATTGGATGGTAAAGAAATAAGAAAAAATCGTGTTAACACAGGGATTCTACCCCGTCACGTCCACTTTTTATTCTCTCTAAACCACTCCTAATGTAATTTGTCTAATTAACTCATTCTGGTTTATTCTTCAACTGCCCCTTCCTGTTTATTTTAGAAAGCCCCTTTTGGCAGGATATATTTAAGCTCCGTTTGAACTTGGCAAAGGGAATCCTTTAGGCCTCTAATTATGCCAGTTGGCTAAAAATGCGAGTGGCGTTGCCTAATTGCAGGCGACAACCTCGAAGGCGGCTCACGTGGCGTATGCGCAACAGCGGATAACTTTTTCGTTTTCGCCTTTGGAGGTGTTGTTCCGTGGCGCCTTATTTTTAATGAAATCACGCACATTTCCGGGAAAGTGGGAAGGTCATAAGTTAAGCCAAGAAAGGGAACAGAATCGTGCCTTTGATGCCTTAATTCCGCGTTTAATCAGCGCTGAAGAAGGAGGGTATATAGATGGGTAAACAAAGATCTGCCCTAGAATTCAGAGTAACCTTTCACCACAATGATGTCCTTGCCTCCTATCCTACTGCAATCGTTCTGCGGTTTCTCACAGCCATCCGAAAGGATGAGAAGTTCATTCAAGGGAAACGACATTCCACAATTGCGGACCATTTTGTGTTTAATTAAGCTCGAACTGCAAATGGTTAAAGTCGCTCTCCCTTACGAAAACAAAGCAGACTCGTTTAGCCATGCAAATTGGATGAGCCGCAGGATGTCCAAACACCTGGATGGATCCTCGTCCTTCGGCATTGTTGCCCTCTATTTACTACCCGACTGTTTGCTGTGGTCAGCAATTAAAAATTCAAACTAGAGTTGTGTCGAGAAATGCCTAACTAATTCTAATTGCAAGCTGTGTAGCAAAGGTCCCCAAAGGACCCACAAAGGACAACCCAGTAAGGCTGCTCAGCTGCTCTCAATTGTTATGAAAATGCGGTTTGATAATGGAATGAATCTGCCTAAAAATGTACAAGTTATTTCGATGGAAATGTGCTTTCAAATTAATTGAAATATGATTGCGCAGGGATTAATTTTTGACTTTATTCATCTTCTCGGATTACTCGAATTAAGCACTCTGATCTTCTTATAAAATTGCCAGAGGCTATTGTCACTTGCATTCTGCCTGAAAAAGTTTTTAAAAGGTGCCAAAAAACACCAGTAATGAAAAGGGAAAATAATGGAAGTTCAGGTGACAGCTGCTAAAAGTTTTCTAGCTAACATAACTGCCAAAGTAAAAGGTAGTTGGAAAAGCGTTAACTTTGCAACAGTGTCAGAAACTGCAGGCGCATTGGGAAAACAAGTTTAACCATTCGAAAGTTTGTTGCAGCCAATAAGGAACAGTAAAAAGAGGATGTCCGGTTAGCAAAATGTCAAACAGGTATTCCTCGTTGACGATTAGCCAGTTATCCATTTTCGCCAGCAATAATTCATTTAGTCATAGCTTAATTTAATTTAATTAAATTCTAAATGTCTGAAATTGCTCTAGTAAATCTACAGATTTATCGTATTAATTGTAATTAATGTGTCCTACTGTCACGCCTAAAAAGGCAAAGTCCAATCCCTTGACCAATAGTTTCGAATAATTAATTTGCTTATCTGGTTGACCATCATTTTCCTATCAACCCTTCGCCACCCAATGTTCCTTTGGCTCCGGTGGGTAATTTCCGTTTCACAAACTACTCCCAGTTGAACTTCAATAATGTTACAACCGAAACGCGTCCATCGCATTCGCCAGAGGTTGGCCCATTTCACCCTGAAAGCAACGTTGTACGTATCCTGGGTCCTCGGACTATTTCCATTCACATTTGACTTGAGGAAAAGGAAACTGCATCGTTCCAAGTGGCTTTTGGCTTATGGTTTGGTTTTAAACATAAGTCTGATGGTTTTGGCCTTGCTGCCATCTACTGATGATCACAATTCCGTTAAAGTGGAAGTCTTTGAGCGGAATCCCTTGGTAAAAGAGGTCGAGGAACTCGTGGAGGTTATAAGCTTAATAACCACAATAATAACTCATTGGCGAACCTTCTGGAATTCAAAGGAATTACTTGCTGCTCTGAATGAATGCCTGATGCTAGAGGACCGTCACTTTAGTAAGCTCATCCTCGGAGAATGTCGTCAATTCGATAGGTATGTGATCGAAAAGGGTCTGGTGGTAATCATGGAGATTGGTTCCTCTTTGGTGATTTACTTTGGAATACCGGATAGCAAAGTGGTTTTTCATGAGGCAGTGTGCATCTACATTGTTCAGCTGGAGGTTTTAATGGTGATAATGCACTTTCACCTGGCAGTGATATATATTTATCGATTTGTATGGATTATCAATGGACAACTCTTGGATATGGCCAGTAAACTGAAGAGAGGTGAAATAGTGGATCCTGAGCGAATCCAAAAGCTCCTTTGGCTTTATGGTCGCCTTTTGGATATAAACTCCCGCCTGGCCGCCATTTACGACATCCAGGTTACATTTTTTATGGCCACCCTGTTGTCGGCCAACATTATTGTGGGACATGTCCTGGTCATTTGTTGGATCAACATCAAAAGATTCTCGCTGGTAGTGATGATTCTGCTTTTTCCTCAAGCCCTCATCATCAACTTTTGGGATCTTTGGCTGGGCATCGCCTCTTGTGATTTGGCCGAGAGTACGGGACAAAAAACCTCCATGATCTTGAAGTTATTCAACGACATTGAAGGTATGGACAAGGAACTAGAAAAAAGAGTAAGTGGGTATATCTTTCAGAATAATATTCTAATCTTTTATTTTCCCTCAGATAGCTGAGTTCACATTTTTCTGCAGTCACCGTAGGCTGAGAATTCGCCACCTTGGTTTATTCGACATTAACTACGAGATGGGCTTCCACATGATTATCACCAACATTTTATATGTACATTTCTTGGTGCAATTCGATTACATGAATTTAAAATTCAAATCAGATTGATTGAAGAGATTGACAGGACCTAATTTTGAACAAAGCTATGAATATTTTCTTTTAACGGATATTAAATATACCTTATTTAAAATGTCGTTTTCATTTCCTTGTTAGGGTTATTAATTTGATTGTTGGCACAGCAATCCTACTTATTCACCCTTACAAATTATTGGTACCCCATTTGTAATTTGTAAGGATATTTCCGACATTATTGTTTGGTTTTAAATCGATATTTCATCAGCGTATTAATTACTCTAAAAGGGTTTATATAGATGGTTGACTACATTGTCTATCAGCACTTCATTTAGTGACTAATTAGTTTGTATGCGTTTGTTTATATTTGCTCAATTGATTTCACCATTTTGCTTTTCACTCGGAGTTTGAAATGTCGGGTTTACGTCGCGAATTTTTTCGCCGTTTGGCTTGGTTAATCTTGAAGGCAGTTCTATATGGATCCGTACTATTTGGACTTTTACCCTTCACTTTACTTTCACGAAAATTTCAGTTAAAGCGGTCTCGATGGCTGCTATTCTATGGCATAGCAGTGAATTGTTTTCTCCTGAGCGTGATGGTTTTCTACGAAAGTCAGAGAAAGTCCCTGGAAGTCCTTGAACAAAGTCCTGTCCTAAACATGATATACGAGTGTACTGGAATAATGGACATCTTCTCAACCGTCGTGATGTATTTTATGAATTTTTGGGGAAGCAAGAAAGTTCAGGAGATTGCCAATGAACTTTTAACTCTTGAGTACCAGGACTTTGATGGTCTGACGAAAAGTAACTGCCCAAAATTTAACCGTTATGTAATACAAAAGTCTATAACTTTGATGGGGCAATTAGTATCCCTGTTTATATTGAATTACGGATTGCCTGGAAATAGACCATACACAATCCAAATAATCATCACTTGTTTGATACAGTTGGGCATGAGTCTTATCAGCATACAATATTATACTATAGTCCTTTTTATCTATCGCTATGTTTGGACAATCAATGGTCAACTCGAAGAACTAGCCGACCAACTTAATAAAAATCCCTTGACAAACTCCTCAAGAATTCGCGAACTTCTCTCGTTGTACCAACGGCTTTTGATGCTAAGTAAGAAACTAGTAGCGACCTACGAGTTACAGATGACTATGACGCTAACAGTTGGTTTAGCAGGAAATATTGTGATCATATATTTCCTTATTGTGTTTGGAACCAGCATGGATAGTACTTTTATGGTTCTCTCGTACTGTGTGCTAATAAATATTTGGGATTTTTGGTTGAACATAGTTGTATGCGAACTCACGGAGGAAGCTGGTAGAAACACCTCAACTGTCCTAAAACGTTTTACTGATCTTAAGCAAAAAGATGTCGAACTAGAAAGAAATGTATGTATTTAGAGTATTGCTCCATAAATAAATAAACAAGTATTTTTTCTGCAGTTAAATGAATTCGCCTGGCTGGGAAGTCACCGAAAATTCCGATTTCAGCTGTGCGGATTTTTGTCGATAAATTATGAGATGGGTTTTCAAATGATCACAACCAATTTTCTATATTTGATTTATTTAGTTCAGTTTGATTATATGAACTTGTAAAAGCTTTTTATAAATTAAAACAATTTTATCTTTCTGGATTTCAAGAAATTCAAATGTGTATTGTAAGTTGACTTCAATTCTGACATTGCTTGCTCGCCCCAAATCGATACTTCATCGCTGTATTAATAAAGCTAATAGCAATTATATAGATTGTTAGCTTTGACAGCCATCAGTACATCGTTTAGTGACTCTCCCACACTTTTTCCAGCTATTTCTTCCATTTAACTAATTCATTTCCCTTTCGTGTTCGGAAATGTTTGGTTCACGGCGCGAATTTCGCCCTTATTTGGCAAGTCTCATCCTTAAGACAGTTTTATATGGATCCTGGCTACTTGGCTTATTTCCCTTCACTTTTGACTCCGGAAGATTTCAACTAAGACGCTCTAGATGGCTTATTTGCTATGGCTTGATCATCAATTATTTCCTTATGTTTCTCCTGGTAATTATTGGAACTCAACATCAGCAGAGAAAAAAACTAGAAGCCTTCGAGCGAAATCCTGTGCTGGAGAGCATAAACATTGTAATTGCATTGATGAGCACTTTTTCAGCTGTTCTTATACATTTTATGAATTTTTGGAAAAGCAAGAAAGTGCAGAGAATTTTCAACGAACTGTTAGACCTGGAGCATAAAGAATTTAAGGAGCTAAATAAAACCAGCTGTCAAACATTTAATTGTTTTGTGATTCAAAAATGTTTTACTATAATGGGTCAGCTTATATGTTTCTTGACGATCAACTACGGAATGCCTGGAAACGAACCCCATTTTTGGTTGGTTCTCCTGAGCTGTGTTTTCCAAGTTTCCCTCAATTTAAACATCATGCACTATTATGTCGGAATCTTGTTAATCTATCGTTACGTTTGGATGATTAACGAACAACTTAAGGAACAAGTGAACCGAATGAAACTCAATCCCACTGCAACATCATCTAGGATTAAAGGGCTTCTCTTCTTGTACAATCGTCTTTTGGAGCTAAATAAGAAATTGATAGCTGCCTACGAACTCCATATGATCCTAATTCTAACATCTTGGTTAGCTGGCAATATTGTGGTCATCTATTTCTTAATAGTGTATGGAATAAGTATGCGTAAATACTCGTTCTTTTTGATAGCATTTCCGCAATCTTTGCTCATAAATAGTTGGGACTTCTGGTTGACTATTACCATATGTAATCTCACAGAAAAAGCTGGTCAAAAAACCTCAAACCTTCTGCAACTTTTTAGTGATCTTGATTATAAGGATGATCAGCTAGAAAGAAGTGTGAGTACTTATATTGAAATGTATTGTTATATATAATTAATACTATTTCCAACAGGTGAATGAGTTCGCATGGCTGTGCAGTCATCGCAAGTTTCAGTTTAAACTGTGTGGACTTTTTTCTGTAAACTACAAAATGGGTTTCCGCATGATCATAAACAGTATTTTATATTTGCTATATTTAGTTCAGTTTGATTATATGAACTTGTAAGGAAAACGTTTTAGCTTAGAAAATAACCAAATGATTAAATAGGGTAAATATTAAAATTTTTGGTGAAAAAATCTTGTTGAGTCAACGGACCGCTGTATTAATAACAGATCAGTTGTTCTGTTCCGTAACATTTTTCGGTAGTGTTAAAAAGCGTGAAAAATGCGCAAGAGAGTAGAGATTGAGCATCAGCAGAGGAAGGTCGCGTGTGTCTCAGTAATAATTAATGTGTCAACTTAAGTATATAATCTGTATCAATGAAGTGTATCAATCGAAGTATAAACTATTAATAATCAATAAATAAATTTACGGAAGCAATGGAAGCCTTTCTCTACATTAATGACGTTAACATTAATCGATTTCAATTATTTGAGGGTGATTGGTGTTATTGGTTGGTCAGTCGTTTAGCGATGTTCCGTGCTCGTAGTGGTTTCAGACAAAAGTTGGTATACATTATCCTAATTTCCATTTTGTACAGCTCCTGGCTGCTTGGATTATTTCCATTTACCATAAGTATGAACGGAAGCAGAGGAGATTGCATCGCTCGAAGTGGTTTATCCTTTACGGATTTTTACTGAACGGATAGAGCCAGGAAAACGTGGTCTTCCAGAGAAATTGTGTGCTGCTATTGGGAATACTCGGAGTGATGACCATATATACGATGCATTTGCGAACCTTCTGGAGGAGCAGGAATCTGGAGGGTACTTTTGTACTTTTGCTCTGCTGCCGTGGAGAGTCCCACATTCGATAGTTATGTAATCCAGAAGGGTTTCCTAGTAGTCGTAGGACTGTTTATACCCGTTACACGTAGAGTAAAAGGGTGTACTAGATTCGTCGGAAAGTATGTAACAGGCAGAAAGAAGCGTTTCCGACCCCATATATAATCTTGATCAGGATCACTAGTCGAGTCGATCTAGCCATGTCCGTCTGTCCGTCTGTCCGTCCGTCCGTCTGTCCGTATGAACGCTGAGATCTCGGAAACTATACAAGCTACAATACTGGGATTAGGCATGCGGATTCCTGAGATTCCTGCGCAGCGCAAGTTTGTTTCAGCAGAGTGACACGCCCACTCTAACGCCCACAAACCGCCCAAAACTGTGGCTCCTACAGTTTTGATGCTGGAATAAAAATTTTAACTGAAATGTATTGTTCTCGTCAATACCTATCGATTGACCAAAAATAAAGTTTGCCACGCCCACTCTAACGCCCACAAACCTCCCAAACCTGTGGCGCGCACAATTTTTATGCTAGATACAAAATGTTAACTGAAATGTATTGGTCTCGTCAATACCTATCGATTGAGTCAAAAAAGTTTGCTACGCCCACTCTAGCGTCCATAAAACTTAAATCTGTCTTCCGCTTTCTCGCTTTGCTGCTTGCATATCTCCATTTCCCTTTGGTCCCATTAGCTGAGTAACGGGTATCTGATAGTCGAGGTACTCCACTATAGCGTTCTTCCTTGTTTTCAACTAGAAAACAAGAAAGGAAGTTAACTTCGGCAAGCCGAAGCTTGTATACCCTTGCAGTTATATTTATTAAATTTAAAAATACAAAAAATGGTATTCCCAATAGTATATATGTCAGAAAACACCGAAGCTATAATTTCTTTCATATTATTTTCCCACCAACTTTCCGACCACGTTTGTGCGATTTGTGGGCGTTAAAGTGGGCGTGGCAAACTTTTTTAGGTCTATCGATAGGTATTGATGAGAACAATACATTTCAGTTAAAATTTTTATTCTAGCATCAAAACTGTAGGAGCCACAGTTTTGGGCGGCTAGTGGGCGTTAGAGTGGGTGTGGCACTCTGCTGAAAAAAACTTGCGCTGCGTAAGAAGCTCAGGAATCTGCACGCCAAATCTCAATAGCCTAGCTCTTATAGTTTCTGAGATCTCAGCGTTCATCCGGACAGACAGACAGACGGACAGACGGACATGGCTAGTGATCCTGATCAAGAGTATGTATACTTTATGGGGTCGAAAACGCTTCCTTCTGCCTGTTACATACTTTCCGACGAATCTAGTATACCCTTTTACTCTACGAGTAACCGGTATAACAACTTGTACTTAGCATGTGACATGGCCTTTCGGAAGGCTACTGGGTAAATATCTTTGCCAAAGACCTTTCTACCCAAAACTTAGATCAGTGCTGAGTAGATCTGAGAATTCTCATTATCCTATTATGGGATTCTTTCGCCTCACTGGCCACTCAAGCTTTGTATCGTCCTATGAGCCATGCATTTTTGCATGGTTAGAGTTCCTTAGAACGCCAGAAAAGGTTCCCAACGATAAAGTCGACTTCAGGGCACCCATTCACAAATGTAAGTATACAACTGACCCTGATCCTGAAAATAAATTATTATTTTTCGCAGAGATAGGGGTTTTTTTTTTACATAACCATTTTTATTGTTATTTAAGGTACTAACTCGATTTTATGATACTAATTTAGCATTATACCACTTCAGATATAGACATAAAGCGGATTTGGCAAAAAAAATCAGCGAAATCGGTTAAGTTTTAACGAAATAGTTATCGACAGCTTCCCCCTATTTTGCATTTTAAGGCCTCGGCGGTCTTCATGTTCAATGCCAGACAAATCCAGACGATGAAAAACAGGATCTTTGGACAGGAAAGTCGGTTAAGTAGCATTGTAAAATGTGTTTTGTGTTCTCGTCAGTATTGCTCAAGAGACTGAGTAACTGAGCTTCAGTTTCCGCTTATATAGTAATTTCTATAGCCGCATCTGGTATTCAGTAACACGAAGTGTATTATACCATTAAATCTTACAAATTTAATGGCCCCGCGTTCGTGTATGGTGTTAAGTTCTTTTTAATTTTCCAATATTTCAAAACGCTCTTTGGCATATATAATTGAATAGTTAAGCCTGTACTTTTGGGTTCCAGTTCGTTACAACATAACATAAAAACAAGGAAGAACGCTATAGTCGAGTACCTCGACTATCAATTTAACACCATACACGAACGCGGGGCCATTAAATGTGTAAGATTTATTGGTATAATACACTTCGTGTTATAGAATACTAGATGCGGCTATAGAAACTACTATATAAACGGAAACTGAAGCTCAGTTACTCAGTCTCTTGAGCAATACTGACGAGAACACAGAACCCATTTTACAATGCTACTTAACCGACTTTCCTGTCCAAAGCTCCTGTTTTTCATCGTCTGGATGTGTCTGGCATTGGATATGAAGACCGCCGTCGCTAGAAAACCCACAAAATGCTCTAAATTCTTATCATACTGTTGATAACTATTTCGTTAAAACTTAACCGATTTCGATGCTTTTTTTTTGCCAAATCCGCTTTATCTCTATATCTGAAGTGGTATAATGCTAAATTAGTATCATAAAATCGAGTTAGTACCTTAAATAACAATAAAAATGGTTATTTAAAAAAAAAAAAACTCTATCTCTGCGAAAAATAATAATTTATTTTCAGGATCACGGTCAGTTGTATACTAACATTTGTGAATGGGTGCCCTGAAGTCGACTTTATCGTTGGGAGCCTTTTCTGGCGTTCTAAGGGACTCTAACCATGCAAAAATGCATGGCTCATAGGATAGATTTTTATTCTACCATCAAAACTGTGGAAGCCACAGTTTTGGGCGGTTTGTGGGCGTTAGAGTGGGCGTGGCACTCTGCTGAAAAAAACTTGCGCTGCGCAGGAATCTTTGGAATCTGCATGCATAATCCCAGTATTGTAGCTTGTATAGTTTCCGAGATCTCAGCGTTCATACGGACAGACGGACAGACGGACATGGCTAGATCGACTCGGCTAGTGATCCTGATCAAGAATATATATACTTTATGGGGTCGGAAACGCTTCCTTCTGCCTGTTACATACTTTCCGACGAATCTAGTATACCCTTTTACTCTACGAGTAACCGGTATAACAACTTGTACTTAGCATGTGACATGGCCTTTCGGAAGGCTACTGGGTAAATATCTTTGCCAAAGACCTTTCTACCCAAAACTTAGATCAGTGCTGAGTAGATCTGAGAATTCTCATTATCCTATTATGGGATTCTTTCGCCTCACTGGCCACTCAAGCTTTGTATCGTCCTATGAGCCATGCATTTTTGCATGGTTAGAGTTCCTTAGAACGCCAGAAAAGGTTCCCAACGATAAAGTCGACTTCAGGGCACCCATTCACAAATGTAAGTATACAACTGACCCTGATCCTGAAAATAAATTATTATTTTTCGCAGAGATAAAGGTATTTTTTTTTTTATATAACCATTTTTATTGTTATTTAAGGTACTAACTCGATTTTATGATACTAATTTAGCATTATACCACTTCAGATATAGACATAAAGCGGATTTGGCAAAAAAAATCAGCGAAATCGGTTAAGTTTTAACGAAATAGTTATCGACAGCTTCCCCCTATTTTGCATTTTAAGGCCTCGGCGGTCTTCATGTTCAATGCCAGACAAATCCAGACGATGAAAAACAGGATCTTTGGACAGGAAAGTCGGTTAAGTAGCATTGTAAAATGTGTTTTGTGTTCTCGTCAGTATTGCTCAAGAGACTGAGTAACTGAGCTTCAGTTTCCGCTTATATAGTAATTTCTATAGCCGCATCTGGTATTCAGTAACACGAAGTGTATTATACCATTAAATCTTACAAATTTAATGGCCCCGCGTTCGTGTATGGTGTTAAGTTCTTTTTAATTTTCCAATATTTCAAAACGCTCTTTGGCATATATAATTGAATAGTTAAGCCTGTACTTTTGGGTTCCAGTTCGTTACAACATAACATAAAAACAAGGAAGAACGCTATAGTCGAGTACCTCGACTATCAATTTAACACCATACACGAACGCGGGGCCATTAAATGTGTAAGATTTATTGGTATAATACACTTCGTGTTATAGAATACTAGATGCGGCTATAGAAACTACTATATAAACGGAAACTGAAGCTCAGTTACTCAGTCTCTTGAGCAATACTGACGAGAACACAGAACCCATTTTACAATGCTACTTAACCGACTTTCCTGTCCAAAGCTCCTGTTTTTCATCGTCTGGATGTGTCTGGCATTGGATATGAAGACCGCCGTCGCTAGAAAACCCACAAAATGCTCTAAATTCTTATCATACTGTTGATAACTATTTCGTTAAAACTTAACCGATTTCGATGCTTTTTTTTTGCCAAATCCGCTTTATCTCTATATCTGAAGTGGTATAATGCTAAATTAGTATCATAAAATCGAGTTAGTACCTTAAATAACAATAAAAATGGTTATTTAAAAAAAAAAAAACTCTATCTCTGCGAAAAATAATAATTTATTTTCAGGATCACGGTCAGTTGTATACTAACATTTGTGAATGGGTGCCCTGAAGTCGACTTTATCGTTGGGAGCCTTTTCTGGCGTTCTAAGGGACTCTAACCATGCAAAAATGCATGGCTCATAGGATAGATTTTTATTCTACCATCAAAACTGTGGAAGCCACAGTTTTGGGCGGTTTGTGGGCGTTAGAGTGGGCGTGGCACTCTGCTGAAAAAAACTTGCGCTGCGCAGGAATCTTTGGAATCTGCATGCATAATCCCAGTATTGTAGCTTGTATAGTTTCCGAGATCTCAGCGTTCATACGGACAGACGGACAGACGGACATGGCTAGATCGACTCGGCTAGTGATCCTGATCAAGAATATATATACTTTATGGGGTCGGAAACGCTTCCTTCTGCCTGTTACATACTTTCCGACGAATCTAGTATACCCTTTTACTCTACGAGTAACCGGTATAACAACTTGTACTTAGCATGTGACATGGCCTTTCGGAAGGCTACTGGGTAAATATCTTTGCCAAAGACCTTTCTACCCAAAACTTAGATCAGTGCTGAGTAGATCTGAGAATTCTCATTATCCTATTATGGGATTCTTTCGCCTCACTGGCCACTCAAGCTTTGTATCGTCCTATGAGCCATGCATTTTTGCATGGTTAGAGTTCCTTAGAACGCCAGAAAAGGTTCCCAACGATAAAGTCGACTTCAGGGCACCCATTCACAAATGTAAGTATACAACTGACCCTGATCCTGAAAATAAATTATTATTTTTCGCAGAGATAAAGGTATTTTTTTTTTTTATATAACCATTTTTATTGTTATTTAAGGTACTAACTCGATTTTATGATACTAATTTAGCATTATACCACTTCAGATATAGACATAAAGCGGATTTGGCAAAAAAAATCAGCGAAATCGGTTAAGTTTTAACGAAATAGTTATCGACAGCTTCCCCCTATTTTGCATTTTAAGGCCTCGGCGGTCTTCATGTTCAATGCCAGACAAATCCAGACGATGAAAAACAGGATCTTTGGACAGGAAAGTCGGTTAAGTAGCATTGTAAAATGGGTTCTGTGTTCTCGTCAGTATTGCTCAAGAGACTGAGTAACTGAGCTTCAGTTTCCGTTTATATAGTAGTTTCTATAGCCGCATCTAGTATTCTATAACACGAAGTGTATTATACCAATAAATCTTACACATTTAATGGCCCCGCGTTCGTGTATGGTGTTAAATTGATAGTCGAGGTACTCGACTATAGCGTTCTTCCTTGTTTTTATGTTATGTTGTAACGAACTGGAACCCAAAAGTACAGGCTTAACTATTCAATTATATATGCCAAAGAGCGTTTTGAAATATTGGAAAATTAAAAAGAACTTAACACCATACACGAACGCGGGGCCATTAAATTTGTAAGATTTAATGGTATAATACACTTCGTGTTACTGAATACCAGATGCGGCTATAGAAATTACTATATAAGCGGAAACTGAAGCTCAGTTACTCAGTCTCTTGAGCAATACTGACGAGAACACAAAACACATTTTACAATGCTACTTAACCGACTTTCCTGTCCAAAGATCCTGTTTTTCATCGTCTGGATTTGTCTGGCATTGAACATGAAGACCGCCGAGGCCTTAAAATGCAAAATAGGGGGAAGCTGTCGATAACTATTTCGTTAAAACTTAACCGATTTCGCTGATTTTTTTTGCCAAATCCGCTTTATGTCTATATCTGAAGTGGTATAATGCTAAATTAGTATCATAAAATCGAGTTAGTACCTTAAATAACAATAAAAATGGTTACCTTTATCTCTGCGAAAAATAATAATTTATTTTCAGGATCAGGGTCAGTTGTATACTTACATTTGTGAATGGGTGCCCTGAAGTCGACTTTATCGTTGGGAACCTTTTCTGGCGTTCTAAGGAACTCTAACCATGCAAAAATGCATGGCTCATAGGACGATACAAAGCTTGAGTGGCCAGTGAGGCGAAAGAATCCCATAATAGGATAATGACAATTCTCAGATCTACTCAGCACTGATCTAAGTTTTGGGTAGAAAGGTCTTTGGCAAAGATATTTACCCAGTAGCCTTCCGAAAGGCCATGTCACATGCTAAGTACAAGTTTTTATACCCGTTACTCGTGGAGTAAAAGGGTATACTATATTCGTCGGAAAGTATGTAACAGACAGAAGGAAGTGTTTTCGACCCCATAAAGTATATATATTCTTGATCAGGATCACTAGCCGAGTCGATCTAGCCATGTCCGTCTGTCCGTCTGTCTGTCTGTCCGTCTGTCCGTATGAACGCTGAGATCTCGGAAACTATACAAGCTACAATACTGGGATTATGCATGCAGATTCCTAAGATTCCTGCGCAGCGCAAGTTTTTTTCAGCAGAGTGCCACGCCCACTCTAACGCCCACAAACCGCACAAAACTGTGGCTTCCACAGTTTTGATGGTAGAATAAAAATTTTAACTGAAATGTATTGGTCTCGTCAATACCTATCGATTGATCCAAAAAAGTTTGCTACGTTTGGGTCAATCGATAGGTATTGATGAGAACATTACATTTCAGTTAAAATTTTTATTCTAGCATCAAAACTGCAGGAGCCACAGTTTTGGGCGGCTAGTGGGCGTTAGAGTGGGCGTGGCACTCTGCTGAAATAAACTAGCGCTGCGTAAGAAGCTCAGGAATCTGCACGCCAAATCTCAATAGCCTAGCTCTCATAGTTTCCGAGATCTCAGCGTTCATCCGGACAGACAGACGGACAGACCGACATGGCTAGATCGTCTCGGCTAGTGATCCTGATCAAGAATATATATACTTTATGGGGTCGGAATCGCTTCCTTCTGCCTGTTACATACTTTCCGACGAATCTAGTACACCCTTTTACGAGTAACGGGTATAAAAACTTGTACTTAGCATGTGACATGGCCTTTCGGAAGGCTACTGGGTAAATATCTTTGCCAAAGACCTTTCTACCCAAAACTTAGATCAGTGCTGAGTAGATCTGAGAATTCTCATTATCCTATTATGGGATTCTTTCGCTTCACTGGCCACTCAAGCTTTGTATCGTCCTATGAGCCATGCATTTTTGCATGGTTAGAGTCCCTTAGAACGCCAGAAAAGGCTCCCAACGATAAAGTTGACTTCAGGGCACCCGTTCACAAATGTAAGTATACAACTGACTCTGATCCTGAAAATAAATTATTATTTTTCGCAGAGATAACGGTATTTTTTTTTTTTATATAACCATTTTTATTGTTATTTAAGGTACTAACTCGATTTTATGATACTAATTTAGCATTATACCACTTCAGATATAGAGATAAAGCGGATTTGGCAAAAAAAAGCAACGAAATCGGTTAAGTTTTAACGAAATAGTTATGGACAGTATCCCCCTGCTTTGCATCTTTTGGCCTCGGCGGTCTTCATGTTCAATGCCAGACACATCCAGACGATGAAAAACAGGATCTTTGGACAGGAAAGTCGGTTAAGTAGCATTGTAAAATGTGTTTTGTGTTCTCGTCAGTATTGCTCAAGAGACTGAGTAAGTGAGCTTCAGTTTCCGCTTATATAGTAATTTCTATAGCCGCATCTGCCATTATGCCATATGCCATTAAATCTTACAAATTTAATGGCCCCGCGTTCGTGTATGGTGTTAAGTTCTTCATTATTTGCCAATATTTCAAAACGCTCTTTGGCATATCTAATTGAATAGTTAAGCCTGTACTTATGGGTTCCAGTTCGTTACAACATAACTTAAAAACAAGGAAGAACGCTATAGTCGAGTACCTCGACTATCAATTTAACACCATACACGAACGCGGGGGCCATTAAATGTGTAAGATTTACCTTTCAGATAAAAATAACTCCCATAACAGTTTCAAAACTGTTTTTGACCGTTCTACTTCCTGCTTAAATTGGATATGAAGATCGCCTTCGCTAAAAAACCCCCACGACACACATTTCCCCATTTATGGGGTGAGTGATCCTGATCAAGAATATATGAGTGATTCTTTGTGAAAAGTATTGAGATTTTCTTTATGGTCTCAACACGATTACACATTTTTATCACGATATTATACCATTTATATACGATTTATAAAAAAATAAAATAAATAAATCCATTCGACAGAAGCATAGATATGGCGATGCCTATTTTTTTTAAGTTTATGTATAACTTAAAATTTCATGGAGTAAAAACAGAAAAATATTCTCGTTAATTATTAATTTTGACAACCTTTCAGATAAAAATAACTCCCATAACAGTTTCAAAACTGTTTTTGACCGTTCTACTTGCTACTTAAACGACGAGACTAGCGCAGAGATATTTAAGGTTCGTATCAACAAATTTATGTTGCGTAACAGCCCGTGACCCAAGAAAATGTCAGATTTCCGATTGGGATAAGTCAGAAAACTTTATTGTTTGTCTTTCGCTGGAGTTTTTGACCTCGTCAGCTGGTTGCGGAGGCTTACATCGCTTCTCCTTCGGTTCGTGTCCCTCCTTCTTTCCAGTCTTAAAACTAAACGTCGTATTCTCGCCCTCTCCGCTGTTGCTTGGCGCCATCCGGTTTTTGGGCGTTAGAGTGGGCGTGGCACGCTGCTGAAACAAATTTGCGCTGCGTAAGAAGCTCTGGAATGCCAAATCCCAATAGTCTAGCTTTTATAGTTTCCGAGATCTCAGCGTTCATCCGGACGGTCAGACAGACAGACAGACGGACATGGCTAGATCGACTCGGCAAGTGATCCTGATCAAGAATATATATACTTTATGGGGTTGGAAACGCTTCTTTCTGCCTGTTACATACTTTCCGACGAATCTAGTATACCCTTTTACTATTAATTTGTTTAATTATCTTGCAGATCTCAGCATTTTCCTAATACTGCAGCCATCGGGGACTGAAATTCCTTCACTGTGGATTATTTCACATAAATCGGGAGATGGGCTTTCAAGTGATTGTCACAAGCGTTTTGTACTTGCTTTTCCTGGTGCAATTTGACTTTATGAACTTGTGATTCCCCAGGCTTTCAATTGGTCTGAATTTCCCTTTAAAGCTGTCACTTAGTTTTCCAGACAGACATGAGATGCACTATTAAGCAGGTGACATTATGGCAATAAAGGCTGAATCACTTTCCCTACAAACTGTTGATGTCGAGCGAACTAAGTGAATGACTTGCAGTTGGGAAATGTGAGGAAAATCGGAACAGGGCCGCAGGGTATAAGCTGCAGCAATAAAGCCCAAACTCCTTTGCCATTCTCTCTGTCTTAAACGAGGCTATGCAAAAAGGCAAAAGTAAAGCCCACAGAAACACACACAAGTGAATAGCGTCTGGAGAATGGAGTGGATGTAAAAAGAAGTGCAATTAAGGCCAGCAAATGAACGGGTTTTGTCCTTTGCAGCTGGCTAAAATGCAGGGATTCCCCTTTTACTATTCTCTACAAACAATGGAGCTTGCTTACAGGAGCAGTTTGGGAGACTGCTAACTTTTGTTCACACACATTTTTATGTAGAATAATAAAGGCTATTCGGGGGTGCCACACAAAACACTGGGGTTTGAAATCACTTAAATGCCATTTAGGTATCTAAAAGTATGCAACACTATATTTTAAGCTCAGAAATAAAATGTATTCTTACAAAAGGACGAACATACTTTAATTACTGCATACTTTTAGACACCTGAAAATAAATTAAAAAGTGATTGCAAAACCAAAGAAAAGACAATTTATATTCCGTATTTACGGCATACTTTTAGACACCTATAGTTAAATTTAAAAGTGATTGAAACACTTAAAAAAATGCAATTTCGTTGGATTATTGTAAATTAAATTTTTATAAAATGTTTAGTGCCATTAATGCTAGGATATCATTGCAATGACTTCTGACTTACATGGTTTATTAAATTTATCTTGGCAAGCATCTGAACTTGATTTATGCCTGTACTGCCACACATTTTATCTATTATTCGTTTGTTCACATATCGGCAACATTTAGGCCAGAAAACTACAACTGACAGGCAACAATTAGGCCGACAATGTGGGGCTGGGGAAAAAGTCAGACAAAGGATGCCCACACACTGGGGCCTTCGTCCTTGGCATCCTCGGCATCCTTGGCTGTCAGGAGCAGATACAGGCCTCCGGTCCTTTTTCGTCCGCGCCGAGGGAGAGCCCCATTATCTTCGATTATCGAGAGCACAAAGCCAGCAGCGATAACAGGGCCCACAGCAGCCACACTCGACACAATCGCGCAAATTGATTTTTATTATCCTGTGCCGGGGACTCCCCTCCTTCAGCACGGCATCCTCGAGCTTCTGGCAAATTTCCTGCTCATCTGCACGTTGGCCAAACAAATATAAACTCGAGTGTACACAAGCATTTGATTTATTGCCCTGGCCCAGGACATCCGCCAATTGTTTGGGCCACGTGGCGGCCCCCGGATCCTTGGGATCCTTTGTTTACACAATAAAATTCCAGCAGTGAAGTCAGCATTAGGTCAACATGCTTGCCATTGGGGCGACTCGTCAACGTTTACGTATAATTCGATTCGCTCATCTCGATTTGTGCCAGCTTTCAATATATTTTTATTAAAACGACAGCATCTGGTTATCGCCATTGCCAGTGCTGAGTGAAGCAAATTTTCACCATTTTCACGGAGGCAGAAAAATTCATAAAAATATTTCCGTTTTATGATGATTCGCCCTGTCAGCAGAAATAGGCTCAAAATGGATTTCCTTTATAGTGATAAGTTCGGTTATCTCGCCCTTATTTTTGTCTCCATTATGATATCACATTGTTTATGGTATTGGTTTTTATGTACTGGAATAACACAAAGAATCGGAAATGGAAACATTTGTCCAAATACAAAAAAGAACCTTATAAATTCCTTGTAAATTACTCAGTTTCTTAGCTAAGTATTTATTATAGCTATAGGGCTAAATAATTGGAATTTCAAAATAATTCAAAGTTCCCATTCGTCTTTCTGTCAGCTTCTTCTGCTGTTTCCATTATCATTCCGGACTTCGTTCTCTCTCTTCTAATTAAAGTTTTGCCAAACAAAATGTTCTATAGCTACAATATTTAGTCAGACTTTCCACTAATTGCCCGGCTTTTCTCGGCTTCCTTCCATCGCATTTTCCTCCTTCCGCTAGTTTCATTTTAGCTGGAGACACAAATCGGCTTTGCTCGTCGCTGAATTGTTGTTTAAACTGCCGGCAACTTGCAGCAAATTGGCAATTATTTAATTTCGCAAACTTCTCTGAGCCAAAGTTTCGGGGAGAGCTGCTCCCCATCGATCGGCTTAAATAAATTGAGGGCTGGAGGCCAAAATTATAACGCATTGGCAAACTAATTAAGGCAGCCGACTCGAATCAATGGAACAATTGGCGGGTATTTATCGTAATTAGGAAAAGGGCTGAGGGTTGGCCCTTCATTAACTGCTTCCCTTGAAGTTCAAAGTCCCCTTCGGTTAACTCCCTCCACACTCTATCAAATACATTCCCCAATTTGCGGCTGCTGGAAAACATATAAATTTAAATTAAAAATCTGCTGATAAACTTTGACCTTTCATTTTCAGCCTTCGGCAATCCTTTTGGGCCATTGAACGTCCTTTACCTCAGAGAAATGAAAAAAAAAAGTTTCGCCCTTCCCTAATTACAATAAATGGTCAGTCAGCTCAATTTTGTGGAAAGCCTGGCGGCAAATTTTAATTAATTTACTGAACAAGTTATAAATTGAGGTAAACTTGATGGCAGAAAAGTGTGAAAGGTTGGAGGCAATTTTTATCTGGTTTAGTAAAAGATGCGGAGTCCCTTTTAAAAGCATGCTTTTTTGTAATATGCCCAAAGGTATACAATAATTTTACGACTGATACTCAGTCATTTGGATAATTTGAAAGCTATTACACACAATTTAATGTAGGTGCGCAATAAAATATATGTTCCTTACCCCTAGTGATTTTTATGCTCTCATAAAATAATGGCTGAACATATAAATATTCCGCCAGACAAAAACAGAATAAGAGCGGAAATTATCGACGAAATTTACGAGGCAGGCGATGGAACATTTTGGCGAACTAATGTGTCCATCAGGATTTTTATGGTGTAAACAAAGCAATGAACAATTTGCGCGCATTCCGGATAAAGCCAATAAATCAAATATATTGGCCAATGCGAAAGAGAGGAAATGTGGCCCGAAACTTTTTGCTGAGCCAAGTTGAATGGATATGGGAATCGAGTAAGTGGCCAAGGGGGAAAGTAGGGGCCAAGGACTCAGGATAATAAAAATCAATTTACGCACTTTTGCTGTGAGCGACGTGTCCTTTGTAGTTGTTTTTATAGCTCCTGCCCTGCTCCTGTCGATCCTGTGGATGTACCCTCCCCCCAGGCATTGTCTTCCTCATCCTGACTTCTAATCGAGGCTAATGGCGGTGATTCCAGGGATTAGAGTGGGAGAAAGTGGTGGGTGGATGGTCTTGGCCTGGCCTTGACAGCGGTTGGCCCCTGACAATAAGTGGCTAAGGGTCAGATTATCCGCAGCCTCAAGTGTTGATTTTTTAACAGGATTTCATCCCAGCACTCAGCTCTGTAATAGAAGCTTTACAGAGGGACTTAATTTTACTCTACACTGATAAAAAAAAAGCACAGTACATACAATTTTTAATTTAACAATTTTATTTATTTTAAAGATGATTTTAATAAGAGATATAATTTCTTTTTATAACATAAAATATTTAAAGTAAATATGACGATCATTGAATTGAATGCTTTCTAACTTGATTTAAGTACTTTTAATTTAAATCGTGAATTTCTCTGGTCTAATTTAAATTTTTACTAAGAAGTTATGAATTCAATATGCAGATGTTTACTTTTGCTATTGGTTTTTTTTATCAGTTTAGATAGGTTTTGTAGATAGTGTAGATAAGGTTACCTAAGCTTTTTGTGTGTTTTTATGATATTTTATAAACTTAAAGCTAGCATGGAAATTTAATAGGATTTTTAGGAAGTGCTCTAATTTAAAAGATTAACCCCTGCTGCTTGAAACAAAAAATACACGCATTTATTTCAATGGAAACCCGCAACAAAAGCCAAACGCAGAGCACAATAAATCAGGAAAAACAGGCAGCCAGTGAGTACGGAAAGTGCGGAAACAGCTGGAAAATCGCAGTCAGGGAAATTAGCAGAGCACACCATGTGAATCACACAAGGGGCGAACAAAGAAAATGCACCAAAGCTGCTTTCGGCTTTTCTCTGTTTTCTCTGCAGCCATTGTTCGCCGGAAAATCCAGCTGCATTCTTAGCCAGCCAAAAAAATACAAAAACCCGTTCATTTGTTGGCCTTAATTGCGCCGCTTTTCACAGCTACTCCATTTCTCCGAATCCTTTTGGCTTTTGCATGGCACATTTCTCCCTTTATTGCTGCATTTTTTTTCCTGCTGATGTCCTGCGGCCTGATGTTCCGTTCCCCCAGTTGAAAAGTCAACAAGGCTTTCACTTAGACACGTCTTCGTGTAAGCTCGGGGACACATCCCACTTGTTCTGGCATCCCCCTTTCAAAATCCCCCCCAACTTCTTGAGCTGTCACTTGTTAGTCCTCCGGGGTTCCCCCTTTCGAGAACCCTCGACTCCAGACGGCACATAGAAGTGCGAACCAATTAGAGGACACTTCCAGGGGCGCTTTTAATATGCTTTCTTCACAGGTTCCAAAAATCAAACTGAAGAAGGAACAGCAGGTACAGGAAACTGGTGATGGCCATGCGAAACCCCATCTCGTAGTTTACGTAGAACAGACCACAATGGTGGAATCTCAACCTGCGATGGCTGCAGAATAAGGCAAAGTCGGCAATCTATGGGATATACATATTTACATATATGTTAATATTTTAAAAAGAAAACTAAACTTACACTTCTTTCTATTTTCTTATCAAGATGTTCGATATCATCAAATAACTTCAGTATGCTGGACGTTTGCCTTCCTGTTCTCTCCGCCAAATCACAGACTTCAATGTTGAGCCAAAAATCAAAAATATTAATTACCACTGCTTGAAGAAATATCAGTACATTAAAATCCAGCTTATTATTCAGGCTGATAGTGTAGATAATGAAGAAATAGATGGCTAAAATGTTGGCAATCTGAAAACTGGCCATTACCAGAACCATTTGGTAATCATAGATGGAGGCCAACCGATTGCTGAGTTCCAAAAGATGATGGTACAAATTGAGTAGATAGTCTATGCTTTCAGACTCCACCGTTTCTCCATTCGCCAGTTGGTTAACCAGTCTGAGTAGTTCCCTATTTACAGTCCACACATATCGGTAGATGAAAACCACTGCCAGGTGAAAGTGTGAGGCTCCCAGAAGGACAGCCAATATCATGAGGCACAAACTGGTTAATCCAATATAAAACTGGTTACTTAAAATCGGTGACATTCCCAGTTCCAAAACCAGCATGGATATAATTTCCAAAACCACAGAGGCACCTTTGTAAAGGACAAACCTATCGAAACTGCGGCATTCCTCCGAAGAATAATGGCGAAAGTGGCGATATTGCAGATCCTGCAGTTCATTAAGGATCTTTTCTATATGCCCACTCTTCCAGAATCCTCTTAGCAGCATCATGGACACCATCGAGAGGAACTGAATATCGTGGATGCTATTAATCTGCTCGGCCAGTGCGTTCCTATGGAACACCTCCATTTTCATCGGCGTCTCACTCTCCGTGTCATTTGTGACCACCAGCAGAATAAATCCGGCATTCAGGACAAGGCCATACGCAATTAACCACTTGGAACGATGCAATCTCCTCGTCCAGCTGTCGTAGGTGAAAGGAAACACGCCCAGAATCCATGAGCCATACAGGACGCCCTTCAATGTGAGGCCCGTCAACTTCTGGCGGAAGCCACTTCCGCTGGGGCGGAACATTCTGGCCGGAGAATCAACCTCGAATGGTCAGGAGTGTAATCCGGCGACGAGTGCCAGCTGCGATAAGGCTGGTTGGATGTACAAATGTTTTCCGGCTACAGTGTGGGAAATGCTGATGAAGGGATTACATGTACTGACCAACGGGCAGTAAGCCTCGCCTGCACTGGAAAAAATCAACGAAACTAGTAAATCCCATTGAATACCTATCTAATATTTATAAAATAATTAAATTGAACTGCTTGGAAATTCATTTTATCAATTGAAACTTTTTAAAATACATACAAAATATTCTTTCTTTTCACTATTTTATTTACATTTCCTTTTGTTATCCTAGAAATTGTTGAAGTGTATTTTGTGCATAACCTTGCCGTTCTTTAACCAGTGTACAGGCTTTTTATAGGCCAAACAAGCTCTTTGTGCTCATAATGCGAGCAACATTTGCCGCGATTTAATCATTTAATTAATTGGATGGACATGGAGTTGAAGTTCAGCTGAAGTTTTCCGCCCCCAATTTCCACCCACTTATATAGTTGAATCATTTCTGTTGGCAGGAGGCTTGTGAAAAATAATTTCGAGAGGCCAAAAGGAAACCTGAAAACCAACTCGAGAAGAGCCCATCATTTCAATTCATTCGAAATCTGTGAAAAGCTTCGAGTGCGATAATATCCCCGGCATATTTCACTTCATATCTGGAGAGTTCTCCTGGAGATAGAAGAGGAGTACGAGTGTTTGACTTGTGGGCTGAAATCCTCTCGAGAGGCCTTCTCGCACTGCTCCGGAAAATTGCCGAAGTTGTGCAAATGAAATTTCATTCAATTAGTGAGGCAGACGACAAGTTTGATGCCTGAATGAGCAGCTTAAATTGGAGTGGAGATTCCGAGAAGAGTGTGCGAATAATGGTTGGTGTCCAGTCAGGCGTTTAAGTCCTTAGTCCCAAATCGATGCTTGGACCTCAGATAAATTGGGCTTGATTCGTGTCAATAACTGAGTTATTTATTTCGAAGTGCCAGCCACCGTTTAGACACATTCCTCCCTAGAAACGCCAGTTTTTTTCAACTTTTCCCCATTGGCCGCAACCAACTTTCGAATGGTTAAACTTGTTTTCCCGATGCGCCTGCAGTTTTTGACACTGTTGCAAAGTTAACGCTTTCCCAACTACCTTTTACTTTGGCAGTTATGTTAGCTGGAAAACTTTTAGCAGCTGTCACCTGAACTTCCATTATTTTCCCTTTTCATTACTGGTGTTTTTTGGCACCTTCGTAAAGCTTTTTTCAGGTAGAATGCAAGTGACAATAGAGAAGTGTCACCTCTGGCCATTTTATAAGCTGATCAGAGTGCTTATTTCAAGTAATCCGAGAAGATGAATAAAGTCAAAAATTAATCCCTGGGCAATCAAATTTCAATTAATTTGAAAGCACATTTCCATCCAAGTGACTTGTACATTTTCAAGCAGATTCATTCCATTATCAAACCGCATTTTCATAACAATTGCGAACAGCTGAGCTGCCTCACTGGGTTGTCCTTTGTGGGTCCTTTGGGGACCTTCGCTGCACAGCTTGCAATTAGAATTAGTTAGGCATTTCTCGACACAACTCTAGTTTGAATTTTTAATTGCTGACCACAGCAAACAGCCGGGGAGTAAATAGAGGGCAACAATGCCGAAGGACGAGGATCCTTTCAGGTGTTTGGACATCCTGTGGCTCTTCCAATTTGCATGGCTAAACGAGTCTGCTTTGTTTTCGTAAGGGGGAGCGACTTTAACCATTGGCAGCTCGAGCTTAATTAAACACAAAATGGTCCGCAATTGTGGAATGTCGTTTCCCTTGAATGAACTTCTCATCGTTTCGGATGGCTGTGAGAAACCGCAGAACGATTGCAGTAGGATAGGAGGCAAGGACATCATTGTGGTGAAAGGTTATTGCAGAAGCCCCTCTGAATTCTAGGGCAGATCTTTGTTTACCCATCTATATACCCTCCTTCTTCAGCGCTGATTAAACGCGGAATTAAAGCATCAAAGGCACGATTCTGTTCCCTTTTTTGGCTCAACTCATGACCTACCCACTTTCCCGGAAATGTGCGTGATTTCATTAAAAATAAGGCGCCAGGGAACAACACCTCCAAAGGCGAAAACGAAAAAGTTATCCGACGTTGCGCATACGCCACGTGAGCCGCCTTCGAGGTTGTCGCCTGCAATTAGGCAACGCCACTCGCATTTTTAGCCAACTGGCATAATTAGAGGCCTAAAGGATTCCCTTTGCCAAGTTCAAACGGAGCTAAAATATATCCTGCCAAAAGGGTCTTTCTAAAATAAACAGGAAGGGGCAGTAGAAGAATAAACCAGAATGAGTTAATTAGACAAATTACATTAGGAGTGGTTTAGAGAGAGTAAAAAGTGGACGTGACGGGGTAGAATCCCTGTGTTAACACGATTTTTTCTTCTTTCTTTACCATCCAATTTCCTTTTTTTGGTTTTGGTAAGACATTAGCTAAGTGATTCGGAGCTTATAATGCGCCATGACCCTGGATCTTTTACATTTATTTGTAATGCCTTAAAACGAAGGAAAGCGTTATGAAAATGTCGTTCCTTTAACCTTTTCTTGGGATTATTGGAAATGTTTTCTCCCATTGCTGTCGTGTCTTGTTTGGCCATTATCCTGACTGCCTTTCGTGTCTGCTGATATCCTTGGCCATGTTGTTGTTATCCTTATTTCTCTGATGGGGCAAAGTTTAATGTTTCACTTGGAAAAGGATTCGCGTTGCCTGCGGGAAAACTTTGCTCGCAAGTCGTTAAAATCAAATGGATATTGTCCCGAAGGGGAGAAAGGAATAAAAATCTCAGTTCCGAGAGTTAGGTATGCAAACTAAGGGTTTTCATCCTCCCTCTATTTTCCAAAACCCCCAGTTAACTTCTCATGATTTCAAGGCGGTCAAATCTCATTTCGAATGCAATCGGTGCACCAATTTAGCACATCAAAGGAAAACAAACAGCCACGCCCTCTCGGACACGCCCACCCTGCAAATGAAGTGCAAAAATGGTGGAAAATATTTGCACTACAAAGTAGCAGGAGAAAAACAAACGAATTGCGGAAAAATATTTTCACAGTTGCAAATGTTCGCTCTGCGATAAGATGAAAACGCAGAAAAAGAGTTTAAAAATCGGGAAAAAATGGTGGGTAAATATTTATGAAATATTTTCGCAGAGTCTGCAAATCAAATCAAATTGCTGAGGGAAAATGCCGTGATTTGCGAGGAAAAACGGAGGGCGAACTTTTGCAGTTGTTTACTCGTCAAAGGACTGGAGGGGAATCCCGCCATGTGTTTACCTTTATTTTGCTTATCTAATAAAGTGCAATCTTTGGGCAGACAATGCAATTTGCCATCGTATTTGTGCCCTTCGATAAACTCCTTTTAGCTTGTGTGGAAAACTGGTGGAAAACTTGCCGTCCACCTTGGATAACCCTCACAAAGGAGCAAAGTGGTGGAAGAGCGGGGAAATTAGCTTTGCAGTGAAATAAATTGCAAATTTCAAGACGGAAATTGAAAATTTATTGGCACACAAAAAGTTGCTGCTTGGGGTTTCTTCTTCAACATACATTATATTTCTTAAGTTCTTCCGAGGGATCCTTTGGAGACAGGGAAAAAGAGAGCAGCGATTGATGATCCTGGCTGTCAGGAAACAAAGTGACAACATTTTGCATCGCAATCGGAGGAAGAAACTTATCCTACTGTTCCCTTTCCTATGAGGGACATTAAAAATTAGTTTTTTCCGTTTACTTGGGGCTGAAATTTCACAATGTTTTCCTTTTCCCTTCGCTCGTTTTTCATGCTTTCTTTGCAGCGCCACAAAGTATGCAACACATGCAGCTGAAGTTTCGCGGAAAGTTTTCTTTTCCCTTCTATCTCCTCCTCCCTCCATCTTTCGTAATAAGTTACGCTTAGCATTTTCCGTTTTCCCTTCCCGCTTAGTGCATTTTTCACCTTTTATCATTATTTCTTGGCTCATTTTCCGAGCTTTCCCCCAGGAGAAGTTTCCCGACTCCAGTCGAGGGGATGATGATTGCTTTGGTCTATGCAAAGTGTCTCAATTTGGGTTCATGTATCCATTAGATACTCCCTACACTCGTGTATTCCTCAGATGCGCATAGCGTATTTTGCTGATAATAAAAATTGGCAAACGGCGCAGAATTTATGCGCTGTGAAAAGTCGTAAATTTTCAATGTGCCCGTGATAAAAATCGGCAATGAAAATGCAGCGTCGAAATAGAAAACTTCAGCCTGTTGTTTTATTTCTGGAAAAAGTTTAACGTTTGTGTGAACTCTGTGGAAGAGTTCAGATGTCGACGAAATTGGAGAGGTCAATAAATAGATTATAAATATTTATGGCAATATATATTTGATCCATTTGGTTGACACTAACTCTCTCGCTCATCATGGTTAAATGATTCAAGCCAGATATAAAATATTTAATTGGATGCGTGATGTAAAACTAAATTCTCTAGGGCCATTCCCTACATCCATTTTCTTTCGTAAACTTTCTTTAATTTCCGGAGCAATAAATTTCAAAGAAAATTCATTTCACTCTTGGTGGTTATTGCTTAAGATAAACAGAAATCGAAGATTCATCCCCTCTTTTCGACAGTAATTTAAAGACAATTAAAAGGCGACAGGAAGGGGACCAAAAATGCGTAAAAGTTAAGGAGAAAGACAGCGATGGAAAAAAGACAGAGTCAGCTGAAGCATAAAATCAACTACGAAAAAGATAAATAAATTAAAAGGAAATAAAATAAAATAGGGGAGGCTGGGAAGTGGGAGGCGTTGAAATCGATGCGAAGGTCATTCCGGGTCAGCGATAAAAATTTCAGCGAAGTTTTCCCCAAGAGAGGAAGGGAAATCGGAATTAATTGCGGAGAAATTTAATTTTACGACGGAGAATTTCATCGTTTTCCTCGCGGGACTCTTAAAGCGGAATAAAATTGGGAAAATGGGAACGCCATGAAACTG